GGTGATCTGCCTGCCTCAGCCTCCCAAAGTGCTGGGATTACAGGTATAAGCCACAGGTTCTTATCTTTTAAAGTCACTGTTCACAGTTATGTAAAGATTATAAGATGTCACAAGGAAAATAACTAGATTAATCCTTGGCATATAAAAAGTGCACAATAAATGTCAACTGTTATTTTATTTTGTTGTATCGGCACTAGAGTTTTCCATCTCTACATAGCACAGCTCATCACATTCCCATCTTCCTCCCTAATCTTCTGAACTAAACAATTTTGATGTTTCAATGGCAGGTGGAGAGCTCTTTCTCCACCCATTCTTAGCACTCAAAGCAGAGAAGTGACTGCAGGGCCTCTCAAGACCAACAAGGATTTGGTTGACGACTCTTTCTCTCCCACCACTGCAGAGCTGAGTTTATTTTTTGCCAGTAGCTCTTCCTTGCTTCCCCACTCTCACTTTCCAACACCCCATTCACTACTGTTGCTACACAGCTTTTACTCTCTTCTGATTTTCTTTTTCATGTTGTTTCTCCCTGCTTTGTTGGTATAATGTACAAGAAGTTTGACCTTTGTCCATAGTAAGTTTCCTTCCATGCCAGCATATTAATTACATCCAGCTCCCTGTTTTTGCTATGCTTATTTGGTTATTGGTTTCTTAAAGTTCTCTTTCGTGGTTAAAATGTATTTTGTTTTATATATATATATATACACATATATATATATACACATATATATATAAAACAAAATAAATATATTTATATATATGTGCGTGTGTATACATATACATATATATACACACACACACACACACACACACACACACACACACGCAAATTTTAATTACATTTTGTGTGTTGTGGGGGGAAAAGAAGGAGCATTTAGGTAATGCTGCCTAATCTGGAACTACTCCAGAAAGCCGGACTGTGATAATAATGATGAAAATAATATTAACCACATCACCACTGCAATGAGAGCAGTAAAACTGACAACAATCATTTGAGTATCTTACTATGTACCATAGGTTGGTCAGAGTGATTTACAGACAATATCAATGACATCTCACAACGCTATTATGGGGGTAGATTTCATGCCCATATTCCAGATAACGAAACAGATGTTAACAAGTCAAGTTGCATGCTGAAGGCCCACAGAAAGCAATGGTAGAACTGCTGACAGGCAGTCTTATTCCAGAACCCATACTGCTAACCAGGGAGCCAGGTTTCACTGTACCTCTACTCCAGTCTTTCTAAGTCTGATAAAACCAAAGAGGTGATCATTTTAAACATTCTTTAATCAGCAAAACACTTAGAGGAAGCAACCATGTCACACTTCAGTTTTGGGGGCTGCTAGAATATTTCCCCTGGGCTACTAGAATAGTTCTATCATTGTAAAATTCTGATGTTATTAAATTTGAACAGCTAAATCTCTAAGTAACTAGTCATTATGTTGTAAAGGTTGAAAAGATTTCCTGCAAATAAAGCTAGGCAAAAATATCACCCATATTGCCAAAATATATTCTCATCCAGGATTCAAATACATTTTAAGAGATATAAGATTAAATTGGTACAAGCAAAAAATCAGTTATTCATTAAGGATTAAAAGAACTGAGGAAATCTGAAAATACTTTTAGACATTGTAGAAATTACTATATTAAAAAACATGTATTGAAAAGACACTCAGAGGTCAACAGACTCCCACAACTAGGTGCACAAAATCATTGAATAATGGTGAAGCAGTATTCACACTGCATTAAATACTTAAGAACTACATATTAATCACAATTGAGTCTCCAAATTTGGCCATATACATGCTGTAGCAAATTACATAGCATTATCTATCATCATTTTGGAAAGCTAAGTTTCAAAAATTAATGGTATATTATCATCTGGTTTCATATGCAGAGGTCATATTACAGGTTGAGTACTCCTTATCTGAAATGCTTGGGACTGGAAGTGTTTTGGATTTTGAATTTTTTTTTCAAATTTTGGAATATTTGCATTATATGCTGGTTGCGTATCCCTAATTCCCAAATCTGAAATCCAAAATGCTCCTATAAGCATTTTCTTTGAGCATTATGTGAGTGCTCAAAAAGTTTTAAATTTTGAAGCATTTTGGATTTCAGATTTTTGGATTAGGAATGCTCAACCTGTATAACCAGTAGTCTAAAATTGGGTAAAATATCATGTGAAAAATGCCCCAGTCATGGGAAATGGGTCCTAATGTCCCACTGGAAAGGGCATTCAACTAGGGGATGTAAAAACACTTTTTATGTGTTTTTATGTACACATTGTGTATAAAAACACATGAAAATTTTAATTCACTATCCAGTAAACCCAGATGACAATAAATCTATGGGCAGAAAAGCAATGCCTTATTTGGTGAGACATATATTCTTATTTCTTTTAAAAAATAGTCTTATTTTCCTCCAAATTAATTTCCTTTTCACCTCCCTCATTTCCCCTGCTACATGCACTATACTCTAGTGGATGGTTTGTCTTTTTCTGAATTGTTTCTGCTACGTACATTTTGACCTGGGAGAAGAACAAGATAAAAGTAACTCTCAAGCACAATATTTCTCAAACTATCTGAGGTCCAGGATCAGTTTTTTCCTCCAATCCTTCACAGAGTGACCACTGAGCAAAATACAAAGTAATGTACTTCTAAAAGAAAGAAATTTTAAAAAGAAACAGAGAGTACAAGTCTCATCTTTAAAAATTATCATTTGATTCAATAAACATAAAATTTATTATTGACTGACTGTGAAAATTTCTAGATGGTAACTCAGTTTCTGTGCTTAGCTTTGGGTGGGCAGGTAACCACAAGGCTGCGGATGGGCTCAGGCCCAGAACCACACAATTCTGTAGCTGTGCTCTGTCAGGGCACTTCACTTGCCTCCTTCACACTTCTAGGATTCACTTTTCCCCAAGGAGGCCTGGATACCACAGGCACCATGGAAGACCCTGGGACCCCCTCCAGCGCTCTTTATTTTCCTATTATCTCCCAGAGGAATCTGCAATTGTATAATTTATTTGGTTGCTTGTCTGCCGTCTCTCTCCTTGGCAAGAATGAAAGCTCTATGAGCAAACAGACCTTGTCTGCCTCATGATCCATTTCATTACTAGAGCCTAGGACTGTTAAATTCATTAATAAAGTCTTTCCATCACTTTTTGTTCTTTATATTCCTTTACTCAATTGATATTCAGCATGTGTAGAAACAGTTCTTTTCCAAGGCTGCATAAGACTTTTGGAAGCAGGCACATAAATAATATCTTTCTACTAATAAATGCTATCTATTATAAAATAGTGTTTATTTTATAATCACTGAATATATCAAAACTTTATAATTCAGGCCTTTTTGAATCAAACGCAAAATCAGATATGAAAAGGTTAATGAATCTTGTCCCCTAAAATTGAGTTTGCCATAAAGGAAAATAGATTCTTAAAAATGAAAAATTGAAAAATATATATGTATATGATTCTTCAGGAACTATATTAATAAAACATTTAAAACAGCTAAGATCTTTATTGTGAGAAATAATAAGATGAAGATGACCACCACTGAAGAGGAGAAAAAATGTTTTATGTTATTTTTTTAAATGTGTATAAAAGCAGTAAAATGTTGTGCCTACCAAAATGACACTTTCTTCAAATAAAGATATTATCTAATGTGTACACTTTAACACACAGCCCTTCCTTGTGTAAATATATAAGAAATCCTTAGAGGAGTTTAAAATAATTTACTTAGAAATTCTACACTTAAACTTATCCAAAGGACATAATTAAAGGTGTAGATAAGATATGCATAGCCTTGCTCTAAATATCCAATAGTAGGGAATTAGTTAAAAATGATATATCTATTTAACTAATTCCATGTAGCCATTAAAAGGATGCTGTAGAACAAAACTTATTGATGTAAAAGGATGGTTAAAATAGACTTTTTACTAAAAATAACAGGTTGCAATACTATATTATAAATGGGCCCATACTGTGTATCTAGATGAACATATAATTATAGTAATAAATGTATGAGACACAGGCTATAATTATTTCGCTTCTCTGTATTTTCTAATTTGTCTGCAATAAACAAATATTATTAATGTAACAAAGAATAAGATACAATATATAAAAACAATAACAACTACAAAAAAGAACCCCTTCGATCAAAAAGAAGTAATCAGGGATTTAATTCAACTATGCCTTGGCACTATTAGGAAGCCAAATATGATTCACTGAACTGAACTGTAATAAAGACAAGATATTAGGAAAATGTTTAAATTATGTGAGAACTATTCTCAAGCACTTTAAAGATCTATTTGCAAGATTACAATGTGCTAATTACAAGTAATATCTATGTATTCTTGAGACTAGCTTTGACAATGTAAACTTTTAGCTGTCATTCCATTTGACTTGTGCTTATATTATGTTTTCCCTGTTGTTTCAAAAGCAGAACCCAGGGACTGATTCTTAGAAGCATTTTCTTATAGATTCACTGGGTGTCTGTAAATCTGATCAACTGGTCTTTGGTAGATCATTATTCAACACTTACCACATACTTTATTTCTAGAGCTATGACTGCCACTCCCCAAGCCTCACTTCATAATGAAAATAAAGAAAACAGCCCTTTTGGAAAAGTTGGATGGTAATACTAACATAAGTTTTTAGTACATACCATATCATAACCTCCTACATGGCTGACTTTTGACTATTTCATTTCTTTTTTAACTGACAGAAGACACAAAGACAAAAATGTCAACTTCACAAAAAATCTTAGTGCTTTTTGGAAAGAATCTTACAGATCATTCAGTCTAAGCCCCTGATGTTATAAATATGGAAATTTAGGCCTAGAAAATAGGTAAGTGAGAAGCCAAACTAGAAGCAAGTGTCCTGCCTCTAAGCCCAATCCACTTGCCATCATCATCTACCATTTACATGGAACATCAGATTCTACTTTAGAAATTAATTATCAACCTACAGGGCTAAGGAAAATAGAAATGTGTGTATACAGACCTTGCATCTGGTAGCTGTAGGGTGCCTGTCCAGGTTGAGGGGTACTGAAGCTTGTGCCATAGCTGAGAAACCCTGTCTGTCCAGGCGACTGAGACTGTGACAATCCACCTTCGGTCTTGATGCCTGCCCACAATGCACCTAAATCAGTTAGTGATAGCTTATCTATCTGTCCATTTTCAAAAGCTGGTAAATACAAAAAACATACACTTCGACAAATATTTAACTATAAATGCTTTCCCAGTCTTATCTCAAAAATAAAGGGTACATATGCACACAGCGAAATACTATAAAGTACAATGTTTGAATGCCTGTTCACATGATTCTCTCTTGTTTGACTGCACTTTAACATAAAGCCCTTCTATAAAATATAACTCCAGTGATATATTTTCATACTTCATTTTGTTTTAATTAATGTAAAAGTTGTAGATCATCTCCTTCACAGTCAAGAAACAGCCTAATTAAATTTTAGCTTAATGATCTCAAAGCTGCTATACTGACTATGGTCAAAATCCTTTTTTTCTAAAAGCAAAACAAAACAGATTAATTGAAGCCTACACCATCACAGTATTTTTCCCCCCTTTACTCTTTCTACCACAAAGATGATTTCAGTACCAACTCATTTTGAAGTCCAAAGAAGAATCAATACCGGGCCCAGAACTAAGCAACATGGTGGAAAGGCTTCTCCTGAGTTTCTAGGTCCCATCGGAAAATAAGCACAAAGGGAGCTGAACACTAATAAGCTGGATCCTATAAAACAGCAGTGATTTATAAACAAGTGGAGTTGGCCAGCAGTTCCCTTTTGTCCCTTTTAGTGTGAAATATTTGACCATAATTGTTTTCAATGTAGTCTATTGTGGCCCCCAAATATCTCCCCAAACACCAGGCTGACATCATAATTTTGGGTTTGGCAGCACTGAGGTATGGGGCTCAGCTCTGTCTTTAATTAGTCATAATTAAAGACAGTCATACATGTTAACAACTCTCCTTCATTCTCATAGAGAGAGGGGAGGAAAATTTCTGCCAAGGGAATTCACATTTTTGAATAATTTTGCTTTGTACTTAAGATAAATGATATCGTTAGGATCTAGAATACTCAGTAGTCTTACTGTTTATTTCCATTTTAGGGGAATCTCATCAGCTGAGTGAAGTCAGATAATTGTTTTAAGGCTGTGAGAGAATCTGACTCTTGGCTGAGAGTGCTTACTTTAATTCCTGCAGTATCTCTAAATAACTTCATAATGACCTTAACATTTAAGTCTTAACACAACCTTGACATTTTAAAAATGTGATTTTCCCTGTAGAGGTAATCCCTAAACAGTGAATAACCCATACATAGAAATGGTCTCTGGAAATATACCTGCCCTAGACAGGTGGCTTGATGCCTCTAGAAAATCCCTTTCTTTCCATGTTGTCACCCCTAGGGATTTTCCCCCTCTTGCTCCATTTGAGGCTACGCTGATCTGCTTCCAGCCTTCAATTACCAATAAAATGCCAATAATTCATGTATTTCTATTCTGTTTTAAACTATTGTTTCCAGATGGGGATCTTTGTGATAAGAATATATAATGAAAGGCAGAAAGAGGTAGATAGCACCCATAGCCACTCCTATCTCCAATGACTTCTTTCTACAAGGTGGCAAACTCCTATCACTAGCAGACTCCTTGAGGATCCAGCAAAGAACAGAATGCATTTGTGTTTCCCCACTCATCTATCATTCTCATGATAAAAAGATACACCAGTCTTTACTTACAGGGTCTCAATAAAAAGTTACGAGCACAAGTCCCTGAAGAAAGTTTTTTAAGACTATCTGGGCCTTGACTATCAGCAGCTAAAACCCAAGCTAAGTGCTCTTCCTTCATGAATGAGCAAAGGGGAGAAGGATGCCATATTTTTCAATTCACTGGCCCCCCAAAATAGAACTTTTGCATCAGAAGTATTCAGGGCATCTCCTTGTACTCAAGGTCCCAAAAGAGAAGACAGGGTGATTAGGAAAATGCTAAGACCTGAAAATGATTCCCCGGGAATTTGTAACCATGAAAAACTCTGGAATCAACGCCTTCACACGGAGCCTCACTCTCATGCCTCCCCGATCCCCACTTATCCCATTAAAATCCCCGTCCTCACTCTGCTAGTTCTGATTCTATTCCCAGATCTTTTTGCTCATCTCACATTCTTTGAACAGCTATATCAGACAAGGACATTCATTAATGACTTAGAAGTGGAGGAACCCCTAACCCAGAGCTCAGAAATTGGCAAAGGCAGATGTGCAGGTCACCCAAGACTGAATAGGGAGAGAAGGAAGAACAAAGGTGTGTGGCTGGCAACCAGGGCTGTGACGGGAATGGCGCCTTCCCATGGCAGCACTGGTAGGCTGACAGCACTTTAGAACTGTGTGGACTGGAAAATATGTTTACACTTCAAATAATCATCTCACAAATAAATTTTGGGAACATAAATCAAAGACTGCCTTGACTTCTGTTATAGAATGGGAGCTGATGCTTTCTCTTCTTTTAGTCCAAGAATAGTTTGAAAGTAAATTCCAGCTAAACTTAATCCATATCTAATATTATTTTGAGAAACGGTGAATAAAGGTTATAGAAATGAGAAATAATTCAAAAAATTCCATTTTAGGGCTGTCTCTAAAGTTTACATTCAAAATACCTATCTAGATAACATTCAGTTCAGATGGTTTTAAAATAAAACTATAAATGCTGAAGTCATACCTAATGTAGGTTATTTGTATATATTTTATAAGAAATTCATATATGAATTCTGTTTGAGATGTAATTAAAAGAAATAAGTAATTTACCTTCTAATTATTAATGAAATACTTAAAAAAGAGCATTAATTCTTTTTATATACTACAGAAAAGAACACTACAAAACAGTATCAAACAGGAGCACAATTAGTATATTGGTCACAAAAAAACTTTGTCAACCCTTTCCTTCAAGTATCTATGTACTATTCTTGATTATTAGTTTTATTTTCTTAATAAAATGCCAATAATTCATGTGTTTCTATCCAGTTCAATCTATTTAGAATTACAATGACAATTTAATGAAAGGAAAGGTATTTTACAATTCTGAGTTTTTTGTTTTTTTTTTAATTAAGCTTTGGGATTTTGTTGGATTTATTTTTAATTTACAGGTATTGACCCCGTAACAAGTGAGTTAAATTACACCAAGATAAAGATAATCTCCAGGTGGGAAGGAACAAATGTCCATGTGAGCTTTAAATGTTTCCTGATTTGCCTCTTCAAAGTGCAGTCCAGGCTGTGATATATAGATCACTTTTCCTAATGGTTGATAACGCTGCAATTTGAGACTATTACCACCCTTGAGTTTAAAGCAAGAGTTTGTTGAATTCTACTTGTACATCCCTAATCAAAGCTAGGCATCTGATAAATAGGAAATGAAACTTTACCCCAAAAGACTTCATTCATAGACAGTTTATCACAAATATTCACAAAAATATTTTGGATTCCAGAGCCCAGTGCTCAAATGGCAAATTCAGGGTTGAGATATAAATGGAGAAAAATGAGAGCAAGAAGGCATACGAACTGCACAATCTGTTTGCTACCTCTGACCTCAAGATAAGGAGCTGCCAGTTCTCATAACACTCATTAGAAAAAATCATACGAAGAATTTAGACACAGAAGGTGACAACACTTTCTAAAGCGGCTGAGGATTCAGTCTTTAAGTACCACTCAAATATGTTAATACACTCATGCCCACACGACAATGCCACCAGTACAATAGCAGGTAACTCACCATATGAGGAAATGCCGTACGGCTGTCCTGGCTGTGGGTACGTGGCATAGGCTGTAGCTTGTTGCATTCCTGTGGTAAACTGTGTTTGCCCATATGCAGCCATAGTTTGTGAGGAAGGGGTAGGGAGAATATGTGGGTATGGTCTGCTATTTGTCAAAAATGACAGAAAATAGAAAGCCCATGCATTAGATGGAAACATGCAAGGTAACCAATTAACAACCACATCACAAATTCCAGTTAAAGACTGTCTCTTAAAGTAAAACTTTGACATAGAATTGATAAAGAACTGAAATACTTCAGTGTCTCCACTACGTGATGCTCAAAATAAATTTGTGTAAATATGTTTACATCTCTATGAAACGCACTTTCATTTAAATTAAGATGGAACATGTGGGCACAGACATGACTTTAAATAAATAAAAGTCTACTCAGAGAAGTTATTTATTGATTAAGAGAAAATACATCTTACTTGGAAGGGTAAATCTGTGGCGGAGAGAACTGGTGAGTTGGTCGTGGGCTGAAACTACTGCTCCCAATTGCTGTAAAAAACAAAACAAAATAATGCACCATAATCCAAGCAAAATGCAAAATATATAGAAAACACTGATATGTTTTCAACTATAGGTTGGCCATAGGAAATTTCAGATATCCGACCTTTGTGAACTGCAGAAATAGCAATTTCATATGGTTCCACCTAACAGAAAGTTAAACTATAAAGAGAAGAGAATAGAAACTGATTAAGGGCTCTAGTTTCAAATGAACTCTTAGAAAACTCATCACAATCTTCTCAAATACCTGTCAGCATGCTATGAGTTTTTACAGTGGCAATACTTTAAGAGTACAAGAAGGCCTGGCTGCTGTTTGGAAAGCCATGCTGAAAGGGGCGGTCTGAAGCTGAACTGCGGGCTTGGGTGGGAATGTGAAAGGTCAGCAGGCCTATTGTTTGTGCTCAGCAAGAACACACAAACCCGAGGCTGTATTACCAAGAAACGTGGTCTAATCTTCTCTCAGGTGAGAAGAAACAGGATAGATCCTCATTTGCCTGCACTGATTTAGCAATGGTTTTTAGTAAAAATGCATTCCTATAACTATCTTAAATTTCTCAAGTTGCAAGCCAAGCCTGTTTTTTCCTGTGCTGATCTGGGTGTTCATTTGCCTTTTATTTATATGTGATCAACTTCAATGTTCAACTAAAAAAAGGTCTGCCTTTATTTTTTAAGGAGGTATTTAAGCATTCAAGCAGAACTTCTCTTCTTAATCATGTTAACTTGATTCAACAATGCATTAAAGTCCTAACAAATGTTCTTTTACTCTAATTCTGAATTAATAAAGATGCAAAAACCTAAGTTAACAAAGTCCTGAAAACAGCAGTTTCAGCTTCTTTCATTGTAAACAGAGTCAATCTACATACATATTTGTATATATACATACGCATATATCTACTCATATTTACATTTATGGGTATACATGTACATACTTTTTCCTTCAAATTCCTAATCTCTACCAGGCTAAGATGCATATTCTTTGGGTGCAATTATTGTAAGATATAAACTTATTCTTCTACCAATAATTACTACTTTCAGAGGCTCTATCATTTATTAATTGTATTCTACACTAAAATCCTTTTAGAAGGTTCCAAGTACTCAAAGTTTCATATAGTTTTCACATTGTCACATTGGTACATTTGTTTCTCAAATTTAATTTTCCAGCTTGTGTTTGGGAGGACAGTGGTAGGCTGGACTAGAATCTTCAGATCTATGAATAATCCTTTCTATGTAAAACAGGTCAAAAACAAGGCCCATCTAAGCACAGTAGGTTTAGATTAATACCACTCTTGCAAGCTCCCAGCTTCAAACATCTGGCTGGCCGCTTGGCAGAGACAGCATCTGTTGTGAAGAGATGGTGAGCCAGCCCAGCTGGTACCCCGTCATTTAGCACATACTGAGTCACTACTCTGTTCCAGGTGCTGTGCTAGATGCTGCAGATGCGAAGGTGCAAGGACCAGTTCCGTCTGATACACGTGGGAAGGGTGACAAATGAATAAGTGGGATGGTCAGTTAAAGACTGCAATTAATAGGAGAGGGGGATCGGTGAGAGAACACTTGGACTATGAGTGCTACCATTTGCCCAGGTCATCTGCAACTAAAACCTCTTCTGTGCCTCTCTTCTAAGACTGAAAACAGGCCAAGGGTAACATAGACTTATCCAGCAGAGTTACTGGAGAAGTAATCTCTTCCTGGGACAATAAGAGTTCAAAACAATTGGCTAAAAACCAAACAGCAAAAAAATGCAATGCTACCTGATGACAGAAGCCATAGAAACCCCATTTATTCTTTTCTAGCTCTGTGTCTATGTTTTTTGAATTGTGGGTCATGGCTCATGAAAAGTTCATAAATTCAACTTAATAGGTTGTACCAAGCAATTTTTTTTCTTTTATTTTTTCTTTCTTTTTAACAGACAACAGAACAGAAGATATCAGGGTTATGGGTTACTACACAGAGTAAAGGAAGTCCCATAAAGCTCTAATTTAGAAGATATACACAAAATGTGTGTATATACATGATGAAAGACTCAGGAGGCTGCAGAATATGGGAATTACGCCTAGGTTCTGGAATCAGAATTTAATTTCAGCACAGATTCAAATCTCAATTCTTCTATGTGGCCTTAGTCAAGTTATTCCCTCTATGTCTCCATATGTTCTCCTATAAAATGATGGCAATATTACCATCTACACCTCATAAGATTGTTGTGAAGACTGAGATAATTTTCCCAGATTCCCACTATCTTTTACTCCACGCTTGTCTTTTCCTTCTGTGTTTTCAACTCTGTTCAATGGATCACCATCTGTCCCACAAAATACTTCAAGGTTGGATTTCCTGCCTCCATTTTACACATGAGAAACTAGGGGCTGACAGAAGTAGAGTAACATATCTAAGCAAATTGAATCCAGGTCTGCCTTACCCTTCCCACCAAAACATACTATCTTCTGACCCCCTGCATGGAAATTAGAGCCTCACAACCATCTTGTTTTTCCCTCTATTTCATGACTCAAGTGACTCACCTACCCCAGTCCAGTAATTGCCTGTTGGTCTGTCCTGCATACTCCATCCCTGCTCTGAGGATCCCTGTCCTGGTCTAGGCCCTCACAGTGACGTCTCACTGGACTACTGGAACAGGTACAGAGCCACTTTCCTTTGGTCGCACTCAGGGATGGCCGCCTTTGCCTTCTGACTTTCAATACTGCCACCACCCTGTTCTTTCTTAAATGGAAACTTCTTCATATCCACAATCATTCGACAGTGTACTTTATCCCTGGGATAAATTGCAAATTTCTTGGCAGAGAATACAAAGAGATTCAAGCTCCAACTCCCTCCTGGGTAGATTATCTAACCTCCCAGACTTCAGAACTGCCCATCCATTTTATGTCTGATTTGGTTGTTGTTCACACTAGACTCTTCTTTGCTCTGCCTGATGAACACTCCACCACGGAGACTAAGACATCATTTTCTCTTCAGGGTAAGTCTTCCTTCTCTGTACTTTTCTTGGAACATTGCAATCCTTGGCAATGTAGCACCCCCTCCCCACATCGCATTACAATTAGGATATGAAGTGTATAGATGGTTACTTTCCTCTGCTAAGTATGGGATTCTGGGGCCATGGACTTCTTACTACCCTGTTTCCTTAGCACCTGACAGGGCCTGGCATGTGGTAGAGGGAATCGACACACATTATTTGTCTAAAAACTATGTGCGAATTAGGTCATAAGCAAAGTAGTTTTTAAAACCACAATAACGTGAAGAATATTTTATGTTTTTATACACATACATAATACATCTAAATTTGGTTCTTTGGAATAAGGTACAATCTATCAAATATATTGGCATAGGTAGTATCCCTTATGAAATAAATGTGAAGAACCCACAATGCTGTCTTATAACTAATCACCTAGTTAGGCATGCTTAAAATTACTGAATATGTCAAAGTCCACATAATAAGCCGTATCTTTCAGGCTTTCTTTAAATCCAAACCCCCGTATGGCTCGCACAATCTCTGTGTGGCTTGTAGTCAAAAATCTACCATCTTATACTTCAAGTAACATTTCCTTAATGGCATGAAACACTTTAAACTTTCTAAACAGTAACCCAGTAATTCAGATTCATTTTAATTTCATGGGACCAAAATTTCCTAAAGCTAAGAGAATGACCCTACATCAAATTAAACGGTCATTTTATCCTTAGAAAACTCAAAATTATGCATGCCACAGAGCCCTGGGAACATACAGACAACCAATATCACTTTATCTATTTAGCACATTTGTTTTCAATTACTGCACTTTATGTCCAACATAGAAACAAGCTCCCCCAATCTTTTTGTAGGAAGGGTGAGGAGAACCCAAAGTGAATAATAATCACAATCTTGAGAAAACGTTGGGAAGAACTCTTTCAATTGGCAGATCCTCAGCTCACTCCTCCCCCAGGCTCCTTCATGTCAACACCATTCAGCCAGACAATCAGGTCAAAATCCTAGAAGTAAGTTTTGACTCTTCTCTTTCCCTCACACCCCACCTACTCTTTTATCATAAGTCCAGTCTGCTTTCCCTTCAAAATAGACCCCAAACCTCAAACGTCTCATCTATCACTCTGTTCCAGTCACCAACATTGTGGCAAACAGAAGATGGGCCTCCTGGTTCTTTCACTGCAGAGGGTGAAGGTGAACAAGAGCCTAGCTGCTATGCTCTGCAATCCATCCATGCCATGCAGGGTGGGGGTGGAGGGATACTTTTAAAGGGCTTCACCAGACCAGTGACAAAGCATCAGGGATACTAAGGCAGGCCTGTTCCTGGGAGAGCTGGGGCTCCTCTGATGGCCTTGCTAAAATGTCCTTAGACTGCACTCCCACGTAACTTAACCTCCCTTCCTTTCCTCTCTTCTTTCCCTTAAGTAAATCCTGGCACATTTAATCCTGTCTTGGTGGCTCTTCTAGGAAGACATGAGCTAACACAGTCATCTTTCTTCCGAGCCAGGAAAACGGTGGTCTCCCTGCTTCCGTGCCCTCACCTCACCTTTCTCCCCATAAAGCACCTTCCATGCAACAAACAGTGACCTCTTAAAAACATAAATTAAGTCATGCCACAAACCCCCTGATCCTCAACTCCAAGCCCTCCATTATCCTATCACACTTCACTGAACCCAAACTTATTCCTGCCTTTCACCAAGATCTCTGCTCAGATGCCCTCTCCTCAGAAGCCTCTCTTCTAAAAGAGACTCCCATCCATTCCTTTACTAAACTCTTTGATCAGCTTTTGTTTCCTTCTTAGCACTTTTCATTGCCTATTTACATACACCAATACTTACCACTTACCCATGTATTATCTGTCTCTCCCAAAGAATGAAAGATCCATGAGAGCACAGACCCCTTTTCACTGCTATATTCCCACTGCCTAGAACATTGCTTGGCATATAGTAGGTGCTCAATAAATAATTGCTGAATGAATTAGACCTAGAAGGGTATACCTTTTATAAACAATTAAACAGATAAA